GTAGCATAGTGGGGAGAAGGTGCAGGTCGCTTCACTGGTGTGGTGAGCTGAAGATGAGCATAGCAAGGCAGTTCAGGGAAACGTCTCACCTTTGTTTTGCCGGGCTGTATTTTGATTTGAAAGGTGGGTAAGTTGTGCCAGTTTGAAAAGAGAATAAGCATGCACGGTTTGTACGCTACCAGTAAGGTGTTTGATCTTAATGAATTGCTTTTTTGTCTTCCTGAGCCAGAGCTGATAAGAGGATTATTGTTGCTTCGAGGCTGTGAAGGGTGCTGTCCTATATCCAGCTGAGCCTCTCCTGTGGGTGTGGTGGGACCTGCAAAACCCAACCTCATCCAGCACAGACGGACAGGCCTGCAACAGCACCGCATCTTCCATAGCAGAGAGAGGGGCTGGCCTGCAGCCTGGCACCTGTAACCAAATCTGTGGCTGAAAAGCCTTTCGTTTCCAAGTGTAATACGACTAAACCAAACCCTTAATGGGCCGGGCTCTAAGTCTTGTTAGACCAGTCAAATTTTTTTTAATTTTATTTTTTTAACCGGGATAGCTTTGTACCCGCACAAAGATTTTTGTATCCAAAGATGTTAAAACTTTCGTCTGTTGTAGATTTTTCCTTTAGCTGGTGAAATTTCCACTGGCCTTTACAATGTGTATTTTTTTCTGGTGAATCCTTATGCAACACTCGTGAGAAACATCATGATTCATCGCTGGTGTTTATTCTTTGGTGGAGCTTCACTGTGCTTTGTCCTGTGCGGTCATAGGACAACAAGCACTGGGCGGTCCCGTGGCATTTGGGGGGGATTAGTGTTTGGTACAGCCTGCCAGCTGACATCTTGGAGGGTCACAAGTGGGCAGAGGGCCAGGGCTTTGGCTGCTGCTGGACCAGCAGGGTTGCTGTCAGCCTCTCAAAGGTATGTGTAGAAAGCTGCTTCCCCTGCCCCCTGTCTGCCTTCCCCTGACTTATTTTTCCCAAATCCTGACCCTGCAGTAAGGAGTTCGGTTGAACTGGACGTTTTAAGCACTTAGCCAGGGTTTGTCTGCTGTCCGTAAGCACGTCTTGGCCTTACAACGTGTAGGAGGGCTTTTCTGCTTGTGCTGCTCGGGTGCTGGAGTACCTGCTCCTCCTCGGAGGGCTGCCTTTGCTTTGCCGAATGGCTTCGCCTCGCCTGCAGTGCCTGAACAGCAGCAGAAGTCACGTCAGCCCTGGTAGCTGCAGCTGCAGTGCCCTCAGATTCCTTTTCTGGTGGAGTCTTGCAACCACACCAGAGTTTTCTCCTCCTTCCCCCGACGGACTCCCAGCAGAGCACCTGCTGCTGTTACCAAACCTCTGGTTTTCGGATGCTGAGTGCAATAAAAGTTGCAACGATGTGTGTGTGGAGTTGTGCGTACGGGGCGCGCTGTGGGTTAAGGTAAAACTTCCAGATTAATTTAACGGCTCTGCACAAGCCGAACCCTTCCTGGGGCGGCATCCGGCTGCTGGGGCGTACATTCACCTGCCGGCCTGCCTGAGCTTCGGTGGCTGGGCTGAACCTGGGGGAAGTTGGGTCATTCTCTGTGGCTGTATAAAACTGAGATGGCTTTTGCTCGTGTTGAGCTGTTTGCAGGCACAAACCTTAGAGGGCAGCATCGGCTGCATCAGCTCTCTCATCCCAAAGCCCTTGAGTGGCACCAGAAAAGGAGTAAAAGGAGAAAGGAGTGTCTTGGAGTGACAAAGGTGCCACGTTTGCTTGTAGGAAGGGTGAGGAAGGGGTCGGGATGTTGCTCGTGATGAAATGCTTAAGGGAGCAGGAGCCCCCGATGATGAAGTGAAACTCAAAAGAAAATACCCTTAAAGCACCTTTATTTGACACCCCTCCTGCTCTGAAGGTGTGCAAAGCACGTGGCCGAGATGGCATGGAAACAGGAGGTGCCTCCGTGGGGGCCGGGGTGCGAGGGGCAGCTGGCCCTGGCGCGTTGGGGCCGATTGCAGATGGGCTGCAGTGGTGGTGAGGGACGAGAGGGCCGCAGGGAGCTGCGGCGTGAGGAGACCTGCCCGGCCGGCTCCAGCCCTGCGAGGACTCGCTGGAGACGAGGTTCAAGAAAGAGCCACCCCAAACCCCGGAGACCCCCACCACCGCGCTCCCCACGGCTTTAGTGAGTATTAATTGCATAAATAGTCGTTAGGAGCCGGATGGGCTGTGTTGTGGCCAAGTTCCCTGAGGGCAGCGGGGGTTGGAGCCTGGTTTGGGGTCAGAGCACAGCAGCCCTGTGGATTTATATTTCTTATTTCTGTGGATTTTTGTTTTTCTCCAAAGCTCTTTAAGATTTACCCGTTGGCTGCTCAAACTTCTGGTAAATGCTTTTTAAGAAAAAGATGCCAAATTGCACGTGCCTGAAGATTTACTTCAGAAAATCAGCTACGAAGCTCCTTGCTGTTTCCTACCCCTTCCACCCCATGAACACTCAGACGCACTTTAGAAATTGCCTTTGAAAATGAATTTTTATTTGGAGGGAATCCATTGGTTTTGTGGTTGATTTCATTGCAGGGAGTGGGCTTTCTTGGTGCACCAGCTCCAGGGAAAGGCACCGGACACCTTTTTGGTGCCGCAAGGCCTTGCTGTGCCCTGCCGGGCCATGGGGAAGGCAAAACCCCCATGACTTAGACTGAGGTTTTGAGCCCGGCGTGTCTAGCAGGAGGGAGTTGGGCCAGAGCACAGCAAGTTGGGGTAATGCTTGTAAGCGAGGCGGTAGGTCCTGGCTGTCCTTTGGAAGCACTCTGCCGCCCGCCTGTCGCACTCACAGCTCCCCTTTTGGCACCAAGTCCCAGATTCTGGAAGAAAATTTGCAGGGGATGGAGTCAGGCGAAGGATGCGGGAGTCGGGGGGTGTCTTTTGGACCATCCCCGCGGCATACGCAGCCCCTCGCGCCGAATTTGGGCTGTCTCGGGTAGTCTTCCTCCTACCTCTGGTGCGTGGAGCTGCCTGGCTAGGAACCACACGTGGCCCTGGAGGGGCCGTTTGATTTATTTTTATCTGCCTGTGTATGTGTTGATGCTTGTTTTGATCACAGGGAAGTGCTTTGTTTCGATCCGCTCTCCATGAAACGGCCACGTTTGCTCTGGGGAAATCGGGGCGGCAATGACAGGTCCCC